GGCCGTGCGGTCAGACCGCGCAGGCGCGCACAGCGCGCGGCCAGAATGTGCAGCTGGCAGCCCAGATTCAGGAATTGGACCCCGAATGGACCCGAGGTTTTCTGAAACCCTCGTAATGCGTGCCGACGAACCCGGAAGAGTTCCGGACCCTGAAGAAGGTGAAATCCGACCTGAAAACGAAGAATGAGGCCAAAGAATGAAGAGTTCAAAAATCGAAGACCCGTTGATGTAACGAAAGAAAATAATTATTATAATTATTTATTTATTCAATTTGGTTGTGATTTATAATTTCCATGGGACCCGGTCAAATCCATCTCAATAGCCGATTGCATATATTTATATTTTATGTTGATAATTATATATTATATGTCCATGCATATAACATGCCATATAAATATAATATGCCTACTCATATGTTTTATAACATGCCATATATACACGCGCATTTATTATTATTTATTTTATTTATTATAAAAGGGTTTTAGAAAAATAAAATAAAATAAGAACAATGCGCTAAAATTGATTTAATATGATTAAATTGATTTAAGTTGTAAAATTGATTTGCAAAATAATGTTACATGTGAAATTGAATTTAAGAGTTAAATTTTGGAATTTCACATATCCGAAAAGTAAATTGTTTATTTTTCGATTTGAAAACCATGAGATGTTTTTCAAACAAAATACATATTTGCAAAATAATGGGTGGGAGAGGGTTGAATGACAATACGACCCACTGGTCTCCATCGTTAGTTCAACACCGTGAGATTCAGAAGGGGCTTCGCGGCGGCACCGATTCCGTACTCCCTACGGAAAGTGTTCTTTCGGATCAATAACAAGGTTGACTTCCTAGCGATATGATTCAAGGATGTATTTCCGGTTTGACCTACCCTACGGCGGCACTCCGGAGTTAAGTCTGTAGAATCTGAAATGATGGGTTACACTTATGAAAATATAATCAAACCCCGTCAGGACCTACCCTACGGCGGCACTCCAGAGTTAAGTCTCCCTCTCTCTTTCCTCTTTCATTTTCGACATTCTCTTTCTCTCTCTTCTCTCTCCGGTGACCCAGCCTCATCGCGATCTAGTTCCGGCAACCCAACCCCGTCAGGACCCAGCCTGAACCATTCACCCCCAATCGTGTCCAAGCCCCATCGCGACCCACCCCCTCATATATACCCAGTCTCGCCGTCACAGCCCCATCACGACTCGCGACCCACCCCCTCATCGTGACCCGCCCAGCTCTGCCGCG